TCGCGTCTATTATGACTCAATTTTATGTCAAAATTGACGCTCGTATATGTCAGTCTCAGAGCATCTAAAGTTACATGGATTTTTTTAAGTGTGTCGCATTTTAGGGAAAGGGGTCTCATAAGTTGTGACCGGCCATATTTAAGGCATTGAAAAATACGCTACGAGGTGGAAGGCGGTCTAAAGTGGGTCAAAATAAGCTACATCATTTATGGATGTTCCCGAACATATTTTGAATACTTATTGGTGCAAGACCTGAAATCATCCTCCTATCGTAAAAAAATCTTCCCAAAGTTACCTTGGTATTCGTCTCTGAATTGATTTGGAGTTCTAGTCTCAGTGCAATCACCATAAGTTGAACAGTGCCTAATGTTGGACAGTTTAATATTAATTAAACATGATCAAAATTTGATATGATTGGCAAATAATTATGTTCTTAAGTGGTTATCATTTTTTACCTTCTAATCCTTTTGTAGCAGAAATTCATATTGGTAGTCGCTGATTCGACGAGTAAATCGAATAAACACCGATTTTTACATAATAAGGCACTTTCAGCTTACAGTGCTAGCACGGTACTAAGAAGTAACTAATTTTACACGTGATGGAATTCATATTTCACATAAAGGATGAAACGTAAACAAACATGTCAGCTTTCTCTGACTCAAAAATGTTTCATATGAAAATTAAATTAAAAAAAAATCATAATCCAAAATCAAGCACACTTTTTTTAACCCTTAATTTCCATTGCCACAAAATTGCTAAATAAGGTACCGTGCAATGTCTTAGCTTAGCTTAGCTTAGCTTAGCTTAGTCTGACTGCACGTATCGATAGTTGCACTCCGTGATTGATCTGAACCAGTGAAATTGTACAAAGAATCAACTGAATGGGGCTTGGTAGTAACCTGCCATTCTCAGTGTACATGTTCCAGTGACTCCTACCTTTAAAGATCAATAACGTCACCGGCCACGTCCTTGCAATCAGGTGGGAGAGGGAAGGAATGTGTGTGTGTGACTTTTGTTGTTTTGGGACCGTGTTTACCTCTGCATCCCACAAAAGTCACAGGAAGGAGCTTTTGTTAGTGGGTTAGGTTCGTTGGATCAGGATTCACCTTGATAAGTGATGCGATCTTTTGTTTTGTGTAGTTATTTATAAGTGTTTTCGATTTATGCTCTAAACAGCCGGCTGTCTAGAGATGTAGATCATTATTAGATGTGTGTATACCGATTTAAACCAACAATAAGGATACTGTTGGGGCCCCTCACAAAGTGTGATGATGGTTTATTTTATTTTATCAATGACCAAAATAATTAATTATAAGCGGTTTGAACCGATTTAAACCAACAGCAAGGATGCTGTTGGGGCCACTCACAAAGTGTGATGGTGGTTTACTTGATTGAATATAAAATAATTATTAGAACCGATTTGACCCGATTTAGACCAACGGCAAGGATACTGTTGGGGCCACTCACAAAGTGTGATGGTGGTTTATTTAGTTCGGAAGAAAATGAATATGTATACTTCTTTTTTTTTATATATAATAGAACGAATTTGTACTGATTCAAACCAAAAGCAAGGGTTCTATTGGGGCAACTCACAAAGTGCGATGGTGGTTTATACTATAAGGGCATAAAACAAAATCAAGAGCCATTTCGGTTTCCATAGCTTCCTAGACACTCGGCCGCAAAATAATCTTATCCGACGGAAACGTCTCGATCATCGCTGCACAATGGTTTATTATAGCATTTATAAAGTAAATTTGAATACCTTATTGTTTATTTATTATCCATTTTGACTTGACTTGGTACCGTTCAGTTTTATGATGACAAAGTTGCCTGGAGAAAAGTGACAGTTCAAAATGTTTCGGAAGGGAGTCAGCTAGTGTCGTCCAAGTTCAAGTGCGGAAAAAATGCCATTTAAAGTGGTACAAACAATTGAAAGATGCGAAACATGCCTAACCGTAATTCTTTCTGGTTGGAAAGAAGCTGGAATCCTACACTGGCCGGAAAAAAAACGCGGTAGCGAAACTCTCTCAAGACGAGTTCTCCATGCCAAACCCAATGTGGGAACGTATCAATTGAGTGAAAAAAAGAGAGTTCAAGACTCGCTTGGAGGCTGAAGCAGAATTGGAACAGATGTAGCCAGTTTCGGATACGGAGGCGAACGAAGGGAATAATCCACCACCGTCAAAGAAAGTTTGCCCCGAAGTCTACAAGTCCCCCAGTCGGAAGGGAAACACAATAAGAGACTTTAACGAAGTTTTCCTTATTCCTGGGCAGGAGGTTGACACCTGTGAAGCTGACTGTAAAATCCAGAATCAGATGAGATTATAATATATGCGACACAAATTCACTTTTTTATAGGGGAACATGTGATGTGAATAGAACCCACCATCAGTGCAAGGATTACATATGACTGCAGATACTTCACTGGTTGTAAAGTTCTGCCTGATGGTTTGTTGCAGCTGGGTGAATCAACTTCATTGAAGACCTTTGGAAGACAAACGACAACAAACGACAAGATGTACGTCTAAATAAGGTACCGTGCAATGTCTTTTATATAAAGTCTGGACCAAAGGGCTTATTGGTGTTGATGAAATGTGCAAATGTTTATGTGCAAAACAGCTGGCGGCAGTGACGTAATTCTATCTGTTCGCAGAATGGAATGTTGGGTAGAATGACGTCATCACTTGAGTGCTCAGCAATGTTTACAATGTGATGAACTAGCCTACGGCTAAAAATCACAAAAATAAAGAAAGAAAAAAAACGCAATGTTTACAATATTTTTGCTCTAACAGCTGCTTTGGCAATGAGATACACATACAGGAGTGGCATGTGAGCATGCTTGTTTGTGTTTGAAAGCAATACTATGAAACATTTTCAGCCGGTAAAAGTGATGACGTCACACGCACCAATTCGATGCAGTCGGGTATAGGAAAAATTAAGAACTTGATTAAAAAAAAACGTATAATTTTGTTCCAGTCGGTTTGAATGCATTACGTCCCATTTGAAACTTTACTCCTGCTCTCAGTTTAATGTTCTCTAGTAAAAAAAATCTAACGAAAATAAAGAGATTGCTTTTTTTGAATAAAAGAGAGTAGAATAGCTACAGAATGATGAACAATGGTACAAATTATGCAAATAATAACATTATTTTATTCCATCGAAGTACTTAACATGTATGTAACAATACAAGACAGATTTAATTCCTGAAATGTTTGATTTTTTTTTTCTGATTTTTTCTTACACTTGCACATCTTTGGTCACTCTGGTCTGCAATCTGACCAAAGGCGCAATAGTATGTTACATTTTTCTTGAAAATCTTGTCAGCTATCAAAATTCTATTGATATATTGTGTAAAAACGATATATCAAAAATTCAGCGTAGTATGTTCTTCATTTCAGAGCTACAATTTGTTTTGAGTAAAAACTTCATGTTTTTATATAATTGTAGCTCAGAAACGAAAATATTGTCCAATATCCAATTTTAAAAAAATACAACATACAATAGTGCCTTTGGTCCCAAGACCATAACAAACACGTAAAACAACTAGATTTAATGGTTTTCAACGAAAAACCACAATTAAAGTGCATAATCGTATTTTCCATAAAACTAAATTTAATAATTTTGACCTCATGATAAAAAACGGGTCAGTTGTTCAAAAGTTATGATTTAAGAAAAAATAAGGCAACATTTTGATTTTTAATATGATTCAACAAGCAACAAAATTCCCAATTGTTACGAAATTTTAAGATCCACATTATATTTTTCTATGGAATTGCTGAATAACTAAATTAAACGAGAAAAAAAATACCCTGTTAGAAAAACCCGTGAGCTAACAGCCAATTTCTAATCAATTTCAATAAGTGAGGTGCATTTGAAAAGAAGTAAATTTCCTGATCGATTGCTGGATGTTTCATGGATGTTTTTCACAAGCTCACAAGCCCACATTAGCTACAACGGTGAAGCCAATAGAATACAATCGGATGATCAAGTCTTTCAGAATAGTTTTGGTCATCTGCTGATCAAAGTTCACGTAGATTGGTTGTTTCCATTTGGAGAACAAACCGCGAGCGGACACAACCTGCATTCCCCCATGTGGACCAATGACATCATCATTGCGATAGTCAATTTCGATGGTTTTATTGACCGACATTTCATCGAAAGTCAATACAACAACACGATCGCGAGGACTCATTTGCTTTCCAGCAACTTCCAACATAGTGAATACGTCCGAAAGAACGCCTTTCCTCATTTGAATGCATGATGCCCATTCTATGAGATTTCTCAGACAAGGCAAAGGTTCTTACGATCTGATATGCGGGCTGACTGTGGTATCTGTAATCAATAGAGATAATATATTAGCAGGCACTGAATATTGAACAGAAGCATTAAGTTTCTTTTACCTTAAAGAAAACGCCAATTCGATTTCTTTTGGTTTCCAAACAACTTTTTTCTTCACTCCAAGAATCAAGTCTGCTTGATTATCTGTGAAGACCTTCTTTAATGCAGAGTGACCTTCTTCGGCAACTTGCTCTTCAGCCATTCTCACGATATCACGATTAGATTTCTATGAGTGTTCCAGATCTGAGCTGAGGTCACTGATTTGCTTATCTTTGCTTTTGATTATGTGCTTAATTGATCTATTTAAATCTTTGATTTGAACTTCTTTCTCACGCAACTGTAAGAAATCAAAACATCAATCACTTAAGGGCTTATCACTTGTGAGTAGGAATAAATACCTCAACTTGAAGATTACGTATTGTCAGCTTTTGATGAACAATGACAGATCTTAAGTCCCTGATCGTTTTCAATCTTCCTGTTTCAGCTTCTCGGTCGAACTAGTCCTCTATCAATATAACCTGAGAAATATTTGAACCGGTTCTTCTTCCTACATACATTTCCGTCTGGGATGGAATTTATTGCTGCATAAACTGCGAGACTCTTTTAAACGTTGCGCTGTTGGACACAGGAGAATCAAATATTGAATTGCCGTTTCTCGGGACTCAATCGTCTGGAACAGGACGGTGAGATTCTTCGGCTGATGTGTCATGAAGTTCATCTGTGTCATGGTGTTTCAGTAGTTCCGCTACTAATTCCGATCTGGTTTTCTTTTCCATTCGAAGCGTACAGCGGTTTGAAGAAGGTGGTGTATAGATCGACGGTACAGCTAAAATCAATATAATTTTCATTAAGCTTCAACAAATACTGAATTTGATGGATTACCTTCCAATAATAGAATATTCCGAGCATCTTTCTGGAACTTCTGTTCGAAATCGTTCTTCTCGAAGTGAAGAGAACAAAGACGAAACTTAGCAGAAAAATCTTTGATCCGGCAAAATGAAATCCAGCGCTTCCGAACATCAGATTTTTTAGGGCAAAAATGCAAACTAATACCCATTCGTTTAGCCCGATAAGCTTTTATTGCACAAGGTTTTACGGCACACGACGGCATTATAATTATTATCAACCAAACACGTTAAAAAACAGTAGAAATTAAATAAATTTATGCTCACTGCACTCAACTTCAGGCGTAAAAAATAATTGCGACATCACAACTTTCATCTCCTCTTGTCGGATACTTGTGTACACAAGTTGAAACTACCACTTATTAATGTTTGGCAAGCTCACTAATACATTGATAACCTTAACTGCCTCACCTATAGGTAAGGGACATAGGCTTCTTGGCCCAGACCTTCTATAAACTTCGTTGAGTACCGTGGATCCCCGGTACTCTGACCGTTTTTAATCTTAACACTTTTTAGTTTGATAATTAGGACGTCGTGCAAACTAAAAATTGCTCAAACGTCATTTATGGAATCAAGGAAAGCGAAATGGAACATTACGAAACGGAACGCAGAATCAAAACAAAACCGTAAATGAGGCAACCAGAAACATGATTGCATGCAGATAGGGTTACTAGAAGTGCAAATTAAAAATGAACTCCGTTAATATGCATGAAGTGCCGTTCAAATTAGCGGGTGTCTGCGGTAGCTCGGTAATAGGAAAAGTTTAAAAAAAATATGTTGAAATTCTCTTCGGAAGTCCTTATTGCTATTGATTTTCGATCTTGTTATATGATGAAATGTGGATTTAATAGTGAGTTTAGTAGTGCATTTTACGAGACGCTTCAGCCGATATTTCAACTCAACCGCAGCTATTGCATGATCTTTCATTTATTAACAATTCGTTTCTCCGTTGTCCAGGGCTCGTACGGGCTGGTAAAACTTGCCTACTCCGAGGAAGATTCGACGCATTATGCCATGAAAATCCTTTCCAAGCGCAAACTACTTCGCAAAGCGGGTCTCATGCGCCGAGGACCAAAACGTGGAACATCCCCACTGGACCGAGTATACCGTGAAATTGCCGTGCTAAAGAAGGTGAGCGCTGTACCTACCGACACAACACAATCAAATTTATAAATGTCCCATTTTCCCCCCACTCCCCTGCAGTTGGACCATCCGAACGTAGTAAAGCTAGTCGAGGTGCTAGACGATCCGCTGGAGGATTCACTGTATCTGGTTTTTGAACTGGTACAGCACGGAGAAATCCTCAGCATACCGACCGATTGTCCGCTTAGTGAGGAACGTGCCTGGACTGTGATTAGGGATGTTATTCTGGGCGTCGAATATCGTAAGTATCAGATTCACAAGTTTTTTTTTCAGCTGTGCACAGGACGACATAAATTTGGCATTCTTTTCCTACGAAAAGATATGCATTATCCGTTTTTGCCTGCCCTATACATATGTATTACATTTAGGTTCATTGTAATTCAAATCAGTCAGCGTGAAAATCACGATTTATTTGTTGCCAAATCTGTTTGCTTTCAGTTCACTACCAGCGGATTATCCATGGGGATTTGAAGCCAGCCAATCTGCTGATGTCGGACTCGGGCAGCGTGAAGGTGGCTGACCTGGGTGTTTGTAACGAGTTCCTTGGCGAAGATGCCGCAATGAATAATGGCTCAACGGCAGGCACGCCGGCATTCCGAGCGCCTGAAACGCTGCTACCCGGGCAGCATGTCTACAACGGAAAAGCAGCTGACATTTGGGCACTGGGAGCCACTCTCTATTCGATAGTGCATGGAAATGTTCCTTTTATAGCTATTTCGGTTCCTGGTGTGTACGAGAATATTAAAAACGATCCACTGCAATTTCCTCCCACGAGCACAATCAGCCCGGAATTGAAGGATCTAATCGAAACCATGCTGGATAAGGATCCCCAGCTGCGCATCACTCTCCCACAGATTAAAGAGCACTGTTGGGTTACCAAGTTTGGTCGATACCCGCTGCCCAGTGAGGAGGAGAACTGCCGACTGGTGCAAATCAATGATGAAGACATGACCACCGTTGTGAAGAGCATCCCAAAGCTAGATACACTAATATTGATAAAAACCATGCTCAAAAAGCACTCGTTCCTAAATCCATTCACGAGAGGCATTTCCGGTCGTGCGCCACAGGTGGGCGGTTCTCGGATAGAACGATTCAGCCGGTCCGGTCGGTCCAATTCCGCACCCGGGGATTATCATACTTCTGAAAGGTGAGTTCTTGTGAAATATCATGCGTCCCTTTAGAATCATTGAAAGTGCCGCACGTGGGCTGCCTACACACTGTAAGAGCAAGCCTTTCCTAAAGCACTCTAGTAAAAATATTGACGACTATCACTACAAAACTGAAACAGAAAGTTGTTCCGATCGAGCAAAGCAGTGCATTTTGACGGTTGAAACAACTTTCGACAGGCGTCCATACTTTTACTTTGAGGACTTAAGCCTTTCCACGGTGTTCCTCTGCACGGAAGATCAGATCGCCTCCAAATTGGTTTAAATTAATTTAAATTAAATTTTAATCACTTAGGAAAGTAGTGACTCAATACGTTTATAAAGTGATTTAATACTTGATCAGACTTTTCTGAAGTGATTCATCTTTTTTTTCTTACTTTATATAAACATTAGACTGATCCAAAATTTGAAAATTTCACTCCACAGTGCTCAAACGGTTTTAAATAAGGTCCTGATTAGCCTCCCAAAATTTAAACTCATTTGGTCAGTTTCTTGACTTGGCACAAACTATTCAAAGTTTATATGGAAATTACTATGGGAAAACCAAACTTTTTGTTCATTGTCTTATACCCATTTTCCATATTGCTTTTTTGAAAATTTCTATAACTATTTTCTAAGCTACAGCTTTGCGGAATATCGTTTTTCAGCCAAATGTCAAATTAAATTGTTATTAATTGTTTAAGAGATTGATAATCTTATGGCAAGATTAGGCAACTGTATTGTGGGTAACACTGTATGCTGCAGTGTGACATAGTAGCCATAAGCCATGTCCTCTATTCTACGCGCCTGCTGAACAGTTGTTGCCTGCTGAACAGTTGAATGAGCATAATCATAAAACATCGGTGACTTGAATCATTAATAATTTTTGTTCCTTACATTTGATTGAAAAGAAGTTTTCAACAAAGTTGTAGCTACAATCACTGTTATCATTTTTAAAAGCATAGTGATGTGGTGAATTGGTAGATATATATGAACAAAAACATAAGTTTTCCCATAGTAATTCCCGCACAAACTTGAAATGGTTTGTGCCAAGTCAGTTTCTTACTAAAGTAGTTCAGCTAATCAGGACCTAATTTGGAACCGTTTAAGCACTGTGGAGCGAAAATTTCAAATTTTGCATCAGTCTAATAAACATGTTGAGCTGATTTAAATGCTAGTGAAGTAAACTAATGATGGGTATATCGAGGAATCCAAAATTTGTTTTCCTGTAATGATCCAACTTTTTCCGAAAAAATAGTCTTAACCTCTCTACAAGTAATTTAAAACATTCCGAAATGAATCATAACTCTTCTAAAGAGGTTTGAAATATTCCTTGGAAGATTACAACTGAGTTCAAACTTTTTAAAAGTGATTATAAACGTTTCTGAAATGATTTAGTTCTTACGGAAGGGATTTCTAATATTTCTAACGTGATTCAATACTTTTCGAAGTGTTTCCGAATTTTCCATAAGTTATAAAATGCTTTCCGCAGTTGTTCAGAGCTTTCCTGAGTGATTCAGTACTTTTTGAATAGATTTAGTTCATATAAAAGTGATTTCGAACTTTTCCAATATAATTCAGAACTATCCGTTTTTTTTATTATTTTTTTATGGTCACTTTAACGCTCTTTTTTAAGTGCTGTACTATCTTAAGTGACTCTGAACATTTCCGAAAAGACTCAGTACTTTCAGAAGTGATTATGAACATTTATTAATTGATTCAGTTCTTTCCTATGTGATTCAAAACTTTTCTGAAGTGAATCAGTATATTCCGAAATGACTCGATCATTTTTCAACTAATTGGTTTTTTTTTCTTTTCGGGAAATAACGCCACTGCGACCAGTAATTTGATCTATTGTAGTATATCCCGTGTCTTTAGTTTAGTGCATGTCGTGTTATTCCATCACTATTGAGAAATGATGAAGTATTAGATTTTTTACTGTTGTAATTCTTGTATTTATCGCAAGAATCCGACTCTAATTGAAAGGTCCCGCTATTTATACTCTTCGGAGTGTTGAAACACCCACCAAAGGCGCGCCCCTTTGTCAGTCCTTTGGATTCCTTAGCAACAAAATTAAAGAATGACACCAATAATGACCATGCATCAGAACCCTAGTCTTAACCACTTCAAACTAGAGAACAACGAATAGAAGAGTTGGTTGGAAATGCTATCTTATATGAAGCTTTAGTGTGATTATTTATTGGCTAGAGAATGATCTTCGGAAAAGGGTAGGTGGATAGTTCCGTTAGAGTACGGCAGTATGAAAATTGAATAGAAGTTGAAAATGAGCGAAGGGCCATTAATGCGACAGTACGAAGTCAAACGCACACCTTTTGCCTAGCCCGTATGATGTACGCGGAGATTTGAAGTATGTCTTCAAATCTACAGGCAAAAGTATGCGCCCGCCTTTGCTCATTACTGTCTGCGGCTGTGGAATAGTTCTAGCGACGTTTCATCACTACCTAAAGTCTGAAGACTTACCACTATTAACATGGCATAAAAAGTAACAAGGACTAAGATGTGTTCCTTTGATTACTGAAAAATCATGTTCCCCTAGTTTGAAGTAGTCAGGACTAGGAATCGGTGGTAGATCTTATATCCCGTAATATACCACGAAAAGGTGATCTACCCACGTTACGGGGCAATTGGGTACTCTCCGAAGAGATTCCAGAATTTTGTAAAGTAATTCAGTACTTTCCGAAGTGACCTAGATCATTTCTGAAGTTATTGAGTACTTTTAAAAATGATTATGAACATTTCTGAATTGATTCAGTTCCTTCCGAAGTGATTCCGAACTTTTCTGAAGTGCTTCAGTACTTTCCGAAGGGATTCCGAATATGTTTAAAGTGGTTCAGTTCGTTCCAAAGTGTTTATTAACCTTTTTGAACTGATTCAGTTCATTCCGAAGTGATTACTAACTTGTCTGAAGTGATTCCTAACTTTTCTGAAGTGAATCAGTACTGTCCAAAGTCATTCATGAAGTGATTCAGAACTTTTCGAAGCGATTAAAATATTTCTGAAGCGATTCAGTTCTTTCCGTAGTGATTCCGAATTTTTCAACAGTAATTCAGCACTTTCCCAAGTGACTTGGATCTTTTTTGAAGGGATTCAAAACTTTTCGAAGTGGTTTTGAACATTTCTGAAGTGATTGAGTTATTTGAGAAGTGATTCCGAATTTATTTGAAGTGATTCAGTACTTTGCAAAGTGAATAGGGGAGAATGGTATACAACGCACCCCCTGGGCAGAACACACCAGCTGACTTTCATTTGTGTTTTTCATGGCTTTTACGTAATTTTTTTGTTGTCTTATCAAGCAGCACTTCTAGCATAGCATCTGAACTCAAAATCCTGCATGATAAATCCTAAAATTGGATTAAAAATTCCAAGAAAAACTCAAAATAAAATGAAAAAGTGCGTCTTACCCCGGGGGTGCGTTATGTACTGTTCTCCCCTACTATTTTTTCAAACGTAATTCTTACCTTCCTAATGGTTTGGAACTTTTCTTGATTTGTTCAGGACTTTTCGTAGTGATTTCGATCATTTCTGAAGTGATACAGTTCTTTTAGAAGTGATTCGGATAATTTCTAAAGTGATTCAGAATATTCTGGAGTAATTCCGTATTTTTCAAAACTGAACATCAACAAGGCTGCAGCGCAAACCTTTTCACATGTCTTGGCATATGTCATTGACAGACACGTCCCGAAAAGAACTCACCACAAAGTGTCTCACCCTCCCTGGCAGACGAGAGAGCTACGTAGGTTGAAGTCAATCAAGAGAGCAGCATTGAGAAGATTTACGAAGTATCGCACGCTTCCTCTGAAACTAAATTATGTGAGGCTGAATCACATGTACCAGCGAGTCAGTCGTGAATGCTTTTCAAGTTTCCAACGAGGCATTCAGCGCAAACTTAAGCTACACCCTAAATCCTTTTGGAACTACGTGAACGAGCAACGCAGGGAATCCGGCCTGCCATCGTCTATGGAGTTCAACGGAGAAGTTGCTGCCACTGTTCAGGATATATGCCACCTTTTTTTCCGAAAAGTTTGCCAGTGTATTCACTAATGAGACACTAACTGACGACCATATTAACCTGGCTGCCAGGAACGTTCCAGTAAACGATCAAACGCTGGGTGCAATTGATGTTAATGCAGAAATGATTTCTAAGGCCGCGACTTTGCTCCTTCAATCCTGGACCTGATGGAGTTCCATCTGTATTTTTGAAGAGACATATTACTAGCTTGTTAATTCCGAATGTCTCTCTCAGGTGGCATATTTCCATCTTGCTGGAAATTTGCGCACATGTTTCCCGTCCACAAAAAAGGAAGGAAACGAGCTGTGGATAACTATCGAGGAATTACATCGTTAAGTGCCGTTTCGAAGCTATTCGAGCTAGTGATTATGGAACCGTTGCTGTCCCATTGCAAGCAGTATTTGAGTGCTGATCACCATGGGTTTACTGTCGGCCGCTCTACAACCACCAATCTGCTGTGTCTCACATCGTATATAACCGAAAGCATGTCGGATCGGGTTCAAACGTACGTTATTTATTCAGACCTATCCGCAGCATTCGACAAGTTGAACCATGCTATTGCGATTGCTAAAATCGGCAGGCTCGGTGTATGCGGTAATCTTCTGAGTTGGTTTTGATCATATCTTACCGGTCGCCAACTAAAGGTTGCCATAGGAGATTGCAGGTCCGCTAGCTTTTTCGCCACATCAGGTATACCTCAGGGAAGCCACATAGGACCGTTAATTTTTATACTGCACTTCAACGACGTGCATCTGGTCATCGAAGCTCCTCGGTTATCATATGCAGATGACCTCAAAATCTTCCTACGAATCAGCTCCATTGCTTTTTTTTTTTTTAAATGCGTTTATTTTTCCAGGCTCATTTGCCGTAGCTTTGCGGAGCCGATATTCATTGTTTGGATGACAAAATTTCTTAAAACTAACGTTAGTAAAGCGGGGGCCGATTACTCGCGGCTATCTCGAGGTTAGGGGT